CAATTACATGTTTCGCTTAATCCTTACGATTTTCCTTCATTTTTGATCCAATAGATTGATAATTTTGAATCTACTGGATCACTTGCAACCCGTTCATATTTGATATTCCGTATTTCAAGCGTTAAACTATCGGCAGAAACGATATTTTCCCTCATCCACGCCGGAAGATCGTCGACAGACATAATTCCTGAATTGAAATCGTCCCTAAACATGATTTCATTGGATTAACATAAGATAATTTAACCAAACACGGTTGGAATAATAACGTAACCCGTTGTTTCCGTTGACCGAAACAATACACCATTTGCATCTCAACGCAATCATAATTATATGCTTGTGAACTCACGCAATACCGAGTAACTGTACCGTTATCTCTGGCTAATCCTATTATAATTCGTATTAGGTCAGACTGCAAAGTTGTTTTTAGCAAAGGGTCTCGCACTGTTTCGCCCCTTGTACATTTTTATTGACTCATTTCTGGCCGCAATAAAATAAATTCCCCTCCTTTATGTCGCCATTAAACGTCACCATTATTACGATTACGTCGCTATGATTGATTAATGCATTGTTCACGCAGTTAAACCTAACCTCCATTTCGCATTAGCATTACCAACTTCGGCGACTTTCTTAATAACTGACACGATTGAAATAAAGTTCGTGAATTTGAGTTAGACAATAATACGAAGTTTTCATAAAGCTCGAAATGTTTTCGTTTCTTTCGCACACACCGCGTAATATCGTTTTCCATTCTTGTTCGTTTCCGAGTTTATATAATTGTATCGACCTCTCCGTTGCATTACCGATGTGGCCTCTTCCTTACCATCCGAGCAAGATAGAAATCGAATTTAACGCTGAGGAAGAAAGCTGCTTACCGGTCTTAAAGTAATCAAAACTTGTATCCATTCTCGATCCCTAAGTTCGATCTCTAACACCGTCTAACTTTCAATTGCATTAGAATACGCGAAAAGTCGATTGTTGAAAGAGCTTTTTTAAGAATCAATTCATTTGCCACTCTATTTAATAGCGAGTAGATGACGCGCAATAATAGCTCGGATAATATTTCAAAGAATTTTTATGTTTTTAAATGAAGAAAGATTTCAAATTAATGAGTTTCTCTTATATCATGGCTACTGTATAAATTTTTCAAATTTATTCATTGTATAAAGCATGTTTTTAAAGAGTATTGAAATTAATTGATTTAAAATGTTCTCTTCTTTCTTATATTTTATATTACTGATATATCTTTTGTATTATATTCGATAAGTTATAATGATAAATATGATATTAAATTTGCAACACAAGTTTCACCGTATTATTGTTGGATCATTGAATGCAACTTCAACCATTGAATGGCTTTTGAATAGTGAATAATATACAAATGAAAATGACACATAATTAAATTGTAAATTGTAAATATTGAAAGCACTTTATGATAAATATGTTTTTAGAGAAAATTCAATATTAAAAAATCTTCAATATTATTTATTCATATTATAAAAATATTTTGTAACATAATATGTAGTGACAATATATTATAACAACAAAATAAATTATTAACTATCAACTCATTTGTTCGAATATTTATTACATATCACGTAATATTATTATAGTATTATCGCTCTTAAAATTTATTCTCTTCGCTATTTCAACGTTTTACATAGATTCCACGATACCAAAAGATTGATTAAAATTGTAATGCCTCTCCTAAAGATAAGAATTACTATCAAAAATAACTAGTACATCAATCACCAATTGAATGACAATAAAAAAAAAAAGAAGTGCTCGTTAAATAAAAACAAATAACGAGCGAATTTTACCATATATCTTTGATGTTACCAATGATAAAAACAAACGTAAAGAGTCTTCGCGATATTTTCACGAAATTACAACATCGTCTAATCACGCTTGGTATCTGAAAGCGTGCCGCCAATTTATTCACCGTACAAAGATTTGCACACGAAACACGTGCGTGCCGCCGGCAAATATGCAGAAATGCTCGAATAAATGATATCAGAAACACGTTCGAGGCCCTTGATTCATTAAACGGAGGCCGAATCTCGTGATACGGTTGAAATGGGGAAATGAGTAATGGAGTCAAGTGTACCGGTGACCCCGCGAATGTATAATCCTTTTCTAATGATGTGCCCGTTTTTTTGCTTTAATACGGCTGACACGTTGCAATCGTGCCTCATGTGGTTAGGAGCAAGCAGCCTATTTTCGCGTTTTCCACGTTTTTTTTTTTCGTGGATTACGGATTAATATACAGTTGTACAGTTTGACCGAGCAAAAGTGAAGTAGGAAGGGGAAGAGGGGTTTCGCGATATACAGGGTGTCGATATATTCGTGGAACATTCTTTGGAGAATCGATTCTGAAGGCCAGAACAAACACAAAAGTTGGTATGCGAAAATGTTGGTTGAGGCTTGGTTATTGAGTTATAAGCAATTTAAAGTTTTCGTTAGATGAAACGAGGTGGAGACAGAAGGAAATGACGGAGACAGAGCTATCTTACTTTATTTAGAGTTTCACTTCGCCAAACGCAAACTTAGATTGCTTATAATTTAATAAATAAGGTTCAACCAACATTTTTGTGTAACTTTGTATAACTTTTGTGTTTGATTTAGCTTCTAGAATTAATTTCCAAAGATTCTTACGAATATATTAATACTTTACTAATAATTCTTTGTACAAAAAAAATGATTTGATTTCTAAGATATATATGCATATATTTACATGCATATAAATGTTACACATATTTATAATAATATTTTATTTATTATACGAGATATATCTTAAACATGAAGTTTTAATTAATTTGATTATTAATTTTATTATAGCTAGTGTCAAATTCGTATTAGATTTATTATATGGATACATTCTTTGCAAATTTTTTTGTTACCAATGATAAAAACAAACGTAAAGAGTCTTCGCGATATTTTCACGAAATTACAACATCGTCTAATCACGCTTGGTATCTGATGCAAATTTTTTTTAAATATATTATCGATATTCAAATAGTTTTGTCTATATAGAATAATAAAATTTCCAAATTTGTTATGATAAAATTACTATGTTTTTAATTATTTTTTTATTTTTTCTTTGAAAAGTTATAAAATGTTTTACTCGTTTCTCAAAAACAATTTTGAAAATTGTTTCATAAAAAGTTTTCAAAGCTACTGTCATATTATTCTGAATTAATGTTGTCAAAATATCTTGTTTTCAAAGGAACTTTTGGTTGAAATATAAAAGAATAACTTTATTGGAATAAAAATAAAAATATATGGAGAAAAAATAAATATAAATTTGAATTTCATAATCTGAATTTCGTTTAACAATTTTCGTTTAAAATATTTTTTTGTTTAGCTATATTATAATAAATTAAAGTAGAATACCCTGTAGAACAGCGAGCCTAATTTCACGGAACATTCATTGCAAACTGAATCGAGGTAGCTTTCGAATGAATCTTCTGGGACTCGTTTCTATCGCGCGTCATCCTCTTGAAGAGAGCCATTTTCTGAAACGAATTTTCGTTTTACACAAGTATTACGTGACACTATTCCAAATTAGATAATTTATGATTTATACGTTTCGAAGTTCGCTATTCTTCAATAAAATGAATTTCTTTAAATTTTTAGATCGATTGCAACATTCTCATGTAGATTTTATATTTTTATATATTTTATTTATAGAAGATTGATAAAATGATTTCAACGTACACATTGCACATTGTTGTTCAAAAATATTCCTTTAACAATTAAAATTGTTCAAATTGTATACAATTTGCAACAATTTCAATATATTCTATGCAAATTGAATCACCGAAATGCTGAAATATATTGTCAATTGATGATTCATAAAAATAAATATTTATTTATTCGCATAATATTTCTTAGCTTTAATATAAGTGCTAAATATCAGAAATATATAAAATAAAAAAATGTTATTCCAAAGATATTTATAATTTTCATTTTTGAAAATTATAAGCGATCAATTTTAAGAAATAAAAATCAAATAATAGTAAATTTGAATAAATTTTCTATAGAGAAAGATAATTATAAAATGAATGAATGAATATTCGAATTTATGAATATTCGACATATTCGAAAATTCGATCGCTTTGCTGTCATGGAATTTAAATCAATTTTTTTTTTAATTATTTCTTGTTTATTTTTACATTTAACGTGTCATACACTGCGAATACCAGTCTCTAATTAATCTATTCGCCACTAGGTGGCTGCAATCATAACCATTTCATGATCAGTCTTCTATAGTAACAACAACCGCCGCTAGATAGCTTCAAGCGCTATCGCGATTCTCGTTAGTATTTTCTATTATATATTATATTATAACTATCAAGTTAAACAAACTAAACAAGTTAAAAAGATTTTTTAATTAGTAAGTTTATAGTGGTAATTGAAGCCGTAAATAAATATCTTTGAACGGCAATTGTATTATTGTATTATATTAACATAGAACGTGTAACATAATAGCAAATATGTATATCTTAATAAATATATATATAATTATAGTAGGGTAAGATTTATATTATAAATATAGATTTTAATTATAACATAAAGAATAAAATTTAAGTACTATAAATAAAATTAATTAATATATTTATATAACAGTAATAGAATGAGGTTAATATCATAATTTTAATTAATATACTTATAATAAGTGTTAAATTTTAAATTTAAATTAGTATAAATATAATAACTTATTATATAAAATTTAGTTTAATTCTTAGGATGGAATTAATTTATGATTGATTCACAGAATTTTTTTTTTATTTTAATTTTATATTTCTTTATTAAGATTGAACTATCAATTTTTATCGTTGTCCACAATTGAATTGTCTTTAATATTATTTCTTTGCATACTGAACAAAACTATATATCCTTATTAGAGTAAAATAATCTATCATTAAATAATTTATCATTTTCATGGTAAAGCTATAATCGAAGAATTCGGATTATAATTCCGCTGTTTATATTATTTTCAGGTACGAAGACGCGGAGTGACGTTGTTTCATCTGTTAATACTGGCTGGTTTGTTCACCCTTGGCACGGCCGCAATCTGTCCAAACGGTTGCATCTGCGACGACGACAACCTCGTGGTATCGTGTATAGGAGCAAATTTGGATGTCATACCGATTGCTCTGAATCCAAGTATCCAGCGAATAGTGTTGAAGGAAAATCGAATAAAAATAGTCGACGCAGCCGCGTTCCAATTCTACGGGGACTTAAAGAACGTCGATTTGTCGAGCAATCACCTGTTTACCATTCCCAATGGGAGCTTCGATGCTCAGAAGCAACTGGTGGAACTTCATCTAAGACACAACAAGATCTCGGCATTGACCGAGAAGACGTTCCAAGGTTTAAAATCTTTGACGGTGCTCAATCTACGTGATAACTATTTAGAAAACCTGAAGAATGGCCTGTTTGCCTCGTTATCGAAGTTGGAAGAGCTGGACTTGGGAAAAAATCGCATATCGAAAGTGGAGCCGGGTGCTTTTCAAAAGTTGGGCACGCTTCGAGTATTACACCTCGACGACAATCAGTTGAAAACCATTCCATCTCCGGCTCTGGCTCCGTTGAATGCCCTGGCCGAGTTGCACATAGGTTGGAACGCGTTTTCGTCACTTCCAGACGACGCGTTCAGGGGACTGGAACAATTGACCGTGCTTGACATTACCGGTGCAGGCTTGGACAACATAAGCGACAGCGCTTTTCGCGGTCTGAACGCTCTACGCACGTTGGAATTGGATGGGAACAAATTGCGAGAAGTACCGACTAGACAATTGGCCGTTCTGCCTCGGCTCGAGGAGCTCACTCTGGGCCAAAACTTCTTCACGATCCTGAGATCGGGTGCCTTCCAAGGCCTGTCCAAATTGAAGAAACTGGACATATCCGCGGCAAAGTTATTAACCACCGTTGAACGAGGAGCGTTTTCGGACAATGCAAATCTAGAGACACTCGTGTTGAATAGTAACAAACGGCTGACTACAATGGAGGACGGTTCCTTGGCCGGGTTACCCAACTTAAGGCACTTGATGTTGCGCGACAACGCATTCACCGGATTCTCGGAATCTCTAGTGGCCTGGAACGAGCTTCGCCGACTCGACTTGAGTGAGAATCCCTTGGTCTGCGACTGCAGCCTGCTCTGGTTATCTGAGATTCTTGTCCCAAGAAACTCCAGCCCTGTGTTGTGCCTGGAGCCAGCCGAGTCGAAAGGGAAACCTATAAAGGGCATGACACCCGACGAATTGGGTTGCGCTTTCTCCGACCCAAGGAAACAAGCTCTGCTGGCCACCCTCAGCACGGCCGGCGTCGCCTTCTTCTGCGCTGTGTGTCTGATCGGCTACTATAGATGTCGCAGACGCTTTGGTGATGCGTTGAAAGACTACAAATGGAAGAACCGCGGTATCTCCCGCAAGGAGCACGAGTATCAAAAGACCTTCTCGAATGACGACGAGTATATCGTCAGATCCGCCCACACTCATCATCATCACCATCACCATCAAGCTCAACCGCAACAGATCCCGCCTCACCATCACCATCACCACCTTCAACAGCAACAACTGCAACAGCAACAACAGCAACAGCAGCAGCAGCAACAACACTCCCAGATAGCGGCTGGTATCAAGCCTATACCAGTGACGGAACTGTAGCTAGAACTTCGGGCGGCGAGCCCTGGAACCGGCGGTGTTTGGTTCTTGCCCCATGGCAGCACTACTCTCGCCGAAGGCTTCACCTACATCGACGGGGAGACGGCGCGCCAAATGCGCCGCCCGGGAACGCTGCCCAACTCCGGGACGTCCGGCCATCGTCCAACCGCCATCGAGGACGGCTCAACGCCGTTGACCGTCCCGGGGGACAACTGCTCCTCCACAGGCGGTGGCAGACTGCATTATTCGAATCATTCTCTGCGCCGCACGCCCCAGCCACCCCATCTACCCCCCCGCGACCCGGACAACACCTCGGAAAGGGCGCAGAACGACTCGAGGCTTCAGAACGGCATACCTGGACACCATCACGCGCCACCTCCGCTACCCTCGAGACACCAGTCGTCCTGCGGCCAATCGTCCTACCCCACCCTGCCCATGAACGGCCACGCGGCCCACCAGTACCATCACTTTCCGCGCGAGAAGGACAGATCGTCGGTTCGTGAGAGGAGTCGCGATCGAGATGTGCAATCCGTCCCACATCGGTCCGAGAAGCACCGAGAACTTCAGATGGAGATGGAGATGCGAGACGGGATGGATATGGAGATAGGCACGTATCGAGCGTAAGGAAGTGTATGTATGCGGGTGACAAGGTGAACTAAAGGGTTTCGGTAATGCGCATCGGAGGCCGAGTGAATTGAATCGAAGACTGAAATAATCGAATAAGGTGGGGGAGGGCGGGGGGAGGGACTCTGACGGTTCACGCGTCTCCGTCCGACTCTCTCTTGCGTAAATGAGACATGGTGGAGGAGGGAAAGGATGCATTGCGCGAAGCATTTGATGAACAATCGCCGGTACAATCGCGAATGGAATTGGCGAACTCGCAGCTAAATCAAATTGAAGACTGATTACGACGGGCGTACGGTGAACGACGTAATAACTCGACGAGTAAGTTAATGATGATAACATTGGTACATTCCAATCATCTGTCTGCCAGTCTTCGTTGGAATCGGCGACCACGCAAATTTCGAATCAAATTATAATCTTTTATTGGTCGATAGGAATTTCTCTGATTACGTCGTGTACAGGAACGGTGTTCACAATGGGAAATCTCCACGTTTAATTTTAAAATCGTGCCGATGGAAATTACGGATCAACAGGAAGAAATATACATATATAAATATATAGAAAGACACATCGAAGTTATTTTAATGAAAGCAAAGATTCATATACCCGAATGGGAATAAGAAAACGTAATAAGGAGAACAAATCGTGCATACGGATCAAACGTTAAGGATTAATGAAGGCTTTGAAGGAAATCCATCGAAAGGGATAAAAATTCTGATTATTATGAGAATTGTGAGAAGGTATCGATACGTTTCGTTGGACGTGGGCATCCGTTTTACAATAGCGCAATACGCGGACTAAGAGGGCTGTACCGTGAAAAAGGAACGAGATTCGCAAAGCAAGATGAATCGGATTGAAGGAGGTGGGCGAGTGAGAAGAGCCGCGTCAAAAGACCGATGGAAGTAAGAACTGTGTTCGTTGCTCCACTAACGATTTTTACGTGCGACAGCTATAGAATGATCGTTTCCATCATGTGTTCGAGAGGCATCGGTGACTTTGAAGATCGCTGAAAGACGAAACCCGGAAGGAAGGCAAAAGAGGAAGAAAGATCAAAGTTTCGGGCGGAACTTATGCCTCGATTATACGGACTTGCATGTCGTTTGTAAAGGTCATTTTTAGAGAAAGATGGAGCGATATCGATCACGCTTCCACCGCCATTTCTATCGTTCACGAACGATTCCGACAATGAACGTTTGTGGGAATTATTATTATATTGCACAATTACGGTGAATTTTCAAGCGCCTTATGCGAGTAATCTTGAGGACGTAAAAAAATCGTATTCAGAATACTCTATTGGGGATTTCAATGATTCGTTGCGTCATTTTATTCCCAGCGTTTATTATGTATATGTATTTATTGGCGTGGTATTAGAGAACTTTATACTTGTATCCGTAATACCTTTTTGTATTTTCTATATTATTTAAAGGAAAATTATATCTAATGCTTTATATTCCCTTGGGGATAAGTAAATTTTTTGTCTCGAAGGAAGATCGAGTAATTGTAAATTATTGTATAGATATTTTCTAAAATTTAATCGCATAAAAATGGGGAGGAAGGGAGGGGGGGAAAAGAAGAAAAAAAATGGAATTACAAATTTGTAACGAGACACCTATTTTCTGAGTACGATTCATAATGAACGCTCACACGAACCTCCACGATGTAACGTTATATTAAGTCGACCACTTAATTATACCTAAACCATTGAATAAATTACTTAATAAAAAAAAAAAAAAGAAAAAAAAAAGAAAGACGATCTCAAGTTCGATAACGTGTAGTTACACGATAATCTACGTGATAAAATCGAAGGAATTTATAAGCTCGAAAATAATCGTTCAACTGAATATTCTTCTGCCCTTCATTGAAATCTGGAACATAAACTTTCTTCTACCGGGGAAGAACTTTCGTGAAACTAGAATTTGATCGTGAACTTAGATTTCAACTATTCAAGGTGACAACACATTATATCGTCCTCTTTCAAATCGTTACTTTATTGTACTTAAAACGACCGCTCGAAACAATTTTTTTATTTAAATATTTAAGATATGTCTTTCATTCGTATTCATTCGTTCAAGCTTGGACATATTGTTTAAATAAGATGAGTATTTAAACTGTTAAGTATTATTTTCAAATACTTATATTAATTTCTTTTAAGTGGCAAATTATTTCATTATAAATTAAAATCGCTTTTTTCTTATTTTTTATTCGAATAAATAATACATTTTCTTTTATAACATATCAATTTAATTATTAAACTAAGTTATCCATTATCCAGTAATTTTAATTTTGTTGTTTCTCCGCTGACATAATTTTGATCGAAGAATGTGAAAAATTGGATCACCAAAATAATAAAAAAATAAATAAACCGATAAAATTTGCAATTTATAATCAATTGAATAAATTAACAAAGGATCAATCTTCTAGTTGAGAGGTAAAGTAAATGTGATCGAGCGTTCACCGAAAGATTCTTCGTTTTCCAGACATCAAACGATGATACATTTAAAAAAAAAAAATCTACTATAAAACTATAAAAATACTCTCGTTTACGGAAAACGAAACATGTATCATAACATGGTCTCATCTAACATAAAGTTATACCTATATATATATATATATTCTAAACAATCAATTTTAGAAATTTTATTTTAAAAATGAATATACGAACGCGTGACATAATAATTCGCACAATATCCTCGATCATAAATTAGGAATAAATTTATATAGTGTCTCGTCGATGCAGAGGCATATCTTATCCAATGTCAATATCCATAGAATCGAAATTATTTATCCTTCGAATTTCTTTCGCAAATCAAAATACCAACCACGATAATAAACCCCTCTCTGTATCAAATTTTTGCTCTTCAAGTTTGCCGCGATATTTTCAACGAAAAAGGGAAAAATAGTTGCGAAAAACGATAATAATCATAAAACGATTTTTTTTCACGAGAACTGATTGGAAAAACATAATATCCATTGCACGACATCGGGTCCGCACTGTTAAACAACTAGAAGCAAAAACTTATCAAATTATTGAAACGTATATTACAATTTACGTGCGCTCTCCCGCGATCGTTTTTCACCAAATACGAATTCGATATGGATCGAGCTTGGAGCTCGAGATTTCTGTTGTTACTCATCAGAGCCATGTACGTTTCGAAGTGTAGAGATTTTGGTGGTCGTTTTCACCCTCCCCTCCACTCGGGTAGATTTCGATCCGAGTATCCTCGAGAGATATCTCGATGCAAAATTATTGTTCCACGCGTATGGAACAATTATGGACCGCGATGAGACGAGGCCGCAGGCATCGAAAAATGATTGTAACATACTCGATGTAAATAGAATTCTTCGACTTTCTTCTCACACTTTCTGCTCTCGTCCATTCGTTCCAGAATCCAGAACTCGCTGTTTTTGCGGGTTGAAAGAAAATATCCGCGATACACGTTGGATCGTCTCAAAAGTTCTTTTCGTTATTTACATATACGATTTTGGCAAAAACAGAGAAACATGATTTTTCATTTATATTTTAAGTCAGATTCCTTCTGATTTTTTAAGAAAATATCTTTATATAAGTATATAAATATCTTTTATTATATAATATTTGATGATTTTTAGTAACAAAAATTTGTTGGTATATTCGAGACCGATGACGCAACGTATCATGTACAGATTTCCTATTTTATGGCGGTTGAGGCGAAGAATTTTTCATATTTTTCATTATGTACAACTATTTTGAATTTTGTTATATTTTTTGCCTGTGTTGAATGGCAATAAATAAAATCAAAAATCATTTTGGAAAAATAGAATATAATCCAGAAAGATGGAAGTTTGATACAATTTGTATATAAATGTCTGAAATAAAACGTCTGTGTATAAAATTTTATAAATGACGAAATATCATTGAAGTATATAAGTACGATCCATCTTGATTCTAGAAAAATGAAGATCTATATAGAGAAAAAAAAAAAACGAAAAGAACTTTTTGGACTTATATCTCGAGATTGTAAATAACGTTTATATCGCTTACGATTTCCTTGATTGTAAGACGTGTATATATATTTTTCATGTGATTGAAAAGTTAGATGAAGGGTTCAGAAGTCGATCAATGTAAAATCACGTAATCTGAAAGTTTATTACTTAACTTATTCAAAAATTTTTTTAAATCTTCGCTTGGCGAATCAATTAAATTGATTGTTGAATTGATTTGTTAATCGAAAATTTGAATAAAAAGATTTTTGAATTATATAAATCATTTCTTCAACAGAATACGATTTATACTGATTAACTTCTGAATTCTCTAGATACATATGTATCTCCTCAAGAATTAAGGAAAACCATTCGGGTAACCAAATTTACGGGTATTGCCTCACCTCGAGTTCATCGCCGTTTCGATATTCATTAATTATTAGAGATTATATGACTATAACGATATAAATAGTTATATGTATCAATATCCCTATAGAACAGCATCAGAGATACTTTCGATCTTCAGAATCAACGGATGGAAAAAGAGAAAAAGCGGATTCATAGCTCTGGTGGCTCGTTATAAAAAAATAACAGTGAGACGCCTTAAATTCGTTTCTCGATACCCATAAAAATCCTGTTTCAACCAACGGGAACAATATCTCTCTTTCGATCGACTGGCCAATGGTATGGACAATGGATCCACGATATTCGATATTCTTTTTTGCAGCTCAAGTTTCTAAAAAATTTTTTTCTCATTCCATTGTTATACAGGATATCGATAGAAGAAAGGTTACAAACTTTGAAACGATGATAAAATTGATGATTGTGGATTTTATGCGAATTTTTATATATATATACTTATTTTACACACGTAAAAGGAATTAAATTTAAAATAGGTATGTGATATGTAATATGTGTCTTTTTTCGATGAATTTAAACAAACTCAATTTATTTGAATTGTTTAAAATATTTAAATAATTTGTTTCGAAAAGTTCAAATCAATAATTCTTATTATTATATTTGGAAATTGATATTCAATTTTGATTCTTAAAATAATATAAAATAAAATAGATAATAAGATTGTTGACGAGATTATTTTTCTATCTGAATGTACTCTATGGAATTCTATGGTCACCCCGGTCGAGAAAGGTGATTATATCTTGAATCGATTCTCCTGCACGCTGATCCTGAGCATGGAAAAGATGAATTCCAGCTCAGGCTTCTGGATGAGCTTCGATTCTAAATAAGTTTCAAGATTATTATTTGCAAAAAAAAAAAAAATGGGAAAATTTTTGTTTCTCAATATAAAATTGGAGAATTCTGGTTCTAAATCGATTATGTCTTGCTTGGATTAGTCTAAAATCATAGTTTTCCCATTTTTTCTTGACATTTACTATAATTGTGATTTCTTTGATATTCGATTATATGTGATTTTTAAATAGTATCTTTATTTTCATTAATTTCATTTCATATTATAATAGAAGAAATAATATGCTCTGTAAAATAAATATTTTTTTCTTTTTCTTTAGTTATGATGTAAGCAAATTTATAAAGAATTATTAAGCTATTGAGATGTGCAAGTAGGAAATTAAAAGGTTCATGACAGAAATTCAATATATCTTTAATCATTATTCAAAGATATTTTCTTTCTTCCTTTTTTGATAATATTTATTGCAATGCATATTTACTATAAATATCTATATATTATATTATTTATTATTATGTTAAAATTATAAACTTATAATATTATTAAAATTATAAACCACGATATTCGATATCAATTTTTATTTAAAATTGTTCTTTAAGCAAAATATTTCTAAATTATATTAATTTAATGAACAATTAGTTTTGTTTAAATTGAATTTTTGATTAAATAAAAGTTAGATAATAGTAATTAAAAAAATAAAAATTAATTATAATTTTTTCTTCGATTTCTAAAAATAAATACTTTTAAAAATAATTATTAAACATTATTAATAGATCGTAAAACATTATTTTTTTTCCATAATTTATTTTAAAAATATCAAATTTTTTATAAAAATGTGCAAGTTAAATAAATCATTTTCTAAAAAAAAAATTTCACTCCATTCGAGCATTTCCATGAAATCCTTCCATTTTCAAAGCATAACCATATTTGCAAAATCAATATTTTTCATAAATATGTCAGTGAAATATCTATTAAAAATAAAGTTTCAATAACATTTTTAATAATAGTTAAATTAACACATTTGACATATTTTTTTTTCCCTTTGAAAACATTATTTTTAAAATAAATGACTTAAAAAATTTTCAGTTTCATTCAAGAGAAAAAAAAATATATAAATGTTATTTATTAATTTAAATATATATTTTGTTTAATTATAAGTAGTATTTATTCATTTTGGCTTTTAACAAAATTGCAAAATTAATTAAGCGATTTACATCAATATAAATTTTATTAAAGTAAATATATTATGAATATTTTCTATTATTTAAAAATACAAAATAATACAAAATAAATAATACAAAATAAATAATAAAATTAATACAAAATAAATTTTATAGTTTATGAAATTTACATGTATTTCATTTTACATTGCAATAAATAATCAAACTAAAAGAAAGAAAGAAAAAAATTAAACTTTTATTAAATATATTCTGGCTGAAAGTCTTTCATTTTATCTATATTTTCTTTTATGTATTCTTTTATTTATTTTTAATCTGAATTTTCATTGTTATATTAATTAGCATTTTTAAACTTTTTTTTTAAATATTATTACATAAGCTATTAACGTTTAGATTTTCAAAATATATTTAATCAAATATATTTAAAAAATATATCTTATCCCCCAATTTTTAACAATGATCAAATATTATTATATTTCAAAAAATAATAAGGATTGTTATTATTATAAGGAAAATTTTCATGCAATATATTAATAAATTATTTAAATTAATTAAAAACAAAATAATTCAAGCTATAAAATATTTTGTACAATGCATCTATGCATCTAACGATATCCATTAATACATATAATAAATTATTGGCAGATATCTATTATGCAAACGATACTTATTTTTTAAAGAATTCCTTTTTTTGGAATTTGTATGCAATTCGCGTTTGCCTTGGAATATTACATTTCTGAACATTCAATATATATAAATATAAATTCCATAATAAATTCCATACGAATCGAGATCGTCTTTTCACATACACAAAAAGTAGACATTGTTACAGCGGTAGAATAAAAAAAGATTAAAGTTTATTTTTGAAAAAAAAGATGATACTTAAATTTAGAGAATTCTGCAAAATTCATTTTTTCATTAAATTTTAATGAAAAACAGTATTTTTCTACAACACAATAGATTTAATTTTAAGAAAATACATTAATTTTTTTGGAAATTTGAATATAAAATATTTTTGGATATTTCTAAAATTTTATTTTATTATTTATTTTTTTTTTAAAAAGCAAATAAATGTATTAAATCAGTATTAAATATAATGTTTCAAGTATCTATCGTATTTATCTAATCATTTATGTATCAGATAAACATTTTATTTCTAAAAATAAATATAAGAATATTCTTTATTTTATTATTATAATTATGAGAATAATTATTATACAGAATCTCTTATTCATTTTAAAATAATTAATATTCTAGTATTTTTTATGATAATAAAATATTCAAGATTTAATTTTTAAATAAATATTATGTGTATGATAAATATTATGTGTATTATTTCTTCATGAAACAAATATTTAATTTATCTTTGATCTTATTTGACTACCATTTAACAATGTCTTCTTATAAATTGAAACATAGAAATATATAGCCTGCTAAGTGGTTTCCATTTTGACACGATTAAATATATCGACACCTTCTGTGTTCACAAGAATATTTATATTAATCGTTTCGCAGCGTTTTAAAAATACTTTAAGAATTCGCGAAATCAAATCACAGTCTGCGTGTAGTTCAACAGAAGTATGCCATTTTTTACAAAATCACAAATTCGAGATGTTTCTCGTTCGTTATTGTCGCTTAGAGAACAAAAAAATCGAACATAAAAAATAGGCAATCGAAAGTAATTTGCATTCGAATCGACAAAAGAATCGCTTCGTGAAGAAGTTAATAAATGTAACATGTTAATGTATAGAAAGCGATTTACCATAAGCATACAGTGTATTTAATATTGTTAAATATTGTTAAATATTGAACGCTTTTCAAAGTACTCGCACAAATTTTTAAGTTGCTGCTCAAAGGCTGAAATTGAAAAACGATAACGTAATTTCGTACTAAAATCGACATTAATGTTATTACTAATATTATTTGCGAGAAAATATGAGGTAATCAAGAAAAGGAAGATATGTAGGAAATATAGGAAAAATAATTCTATTTCTATTCTGCTTAATTGAAAAATAAATATCACGAGAAATAAAAATTTATTTTCATGAAAGATGATCGTTTAGATTTGATAAGTGTATTTATATAATAATCTAAAGATAAAAATCAGAAGAATAAAAAATTGAATAAAAAAATTTAAAAAAATGTTATAAATGAATCTTGTTTAGACTTTTTACAATACACATACAATTCTAAATATAATCCACTATCTAATTTTAATTTTTAATGATTATTTGCTGTTCTATAAAAGAGTGTGATATAACTATTCCAAACTTTATTATATAATTATATATTTTACCATTAAAAAGACGAAACTATTAAAAAAGAGAATTTTCTTGATTATCTGATAGTTTTCATACAAAATCTATTTCTATATTGTAAATTTGGTACTTTACATAATATATCATGAAAGAGATTTTTCAAAATTTGTTTTCTAATTTTTAGTTTGTGCCTTTAAATGCATTTGAATATTATAAAAAATTGTATGACAACTCGAATCCGAATCATAAATAGTGAACATATATTTGTATCTTTTTATAATTAATATTGAACATGTTTCTATCATTTTAAAAGAGTAATATTAAAATTAAAAATATATTATACTTCTTTGCATATCGAGTTCATTATCTGATATTTACAATATATACTGATATTAATCCTTAATACTTTCTTCTAAATATATTGAAACACAAGAATGATCAATATAATTTTATTGTCTCGATTAAATGGATATATACTAAAAATTCACTAATGAAAACTCGCAAAATTTCTTTTCACAACAAAGATAACTTGTACGAAATCCCGAGATTTTAGGCTCGGGACAGATCGGTAAACTTCGGCCAAGATCGAGTGGGATCCATGATAGTCTCGTATTGCGCGGGATTTTAGAAAGTTCGAGATCCTATTATCATAACCTTTAATCAATCAGATCCGATTATTCCCGATTTATATTTCTATCTAATCTTCTAATCTAAATCGAGTCTTATGATCCCAAACATTTGAAAAACCGATTTTATTTCAGTTCGAAATTCTAGATTCCGCACATTTATTCAACTCGCGTTAGAAGAAACGATAAAAATGTCCCTAACGTTTGTACCGTATGGAAGAATGCTTATATCCTATCCCTATGTAATCCGACGAGATGCTTGGGATCGAATCCGAATAATTCAGAAATTAACGTAGCGATAAGCTAGCGCTATAATATCAGATATTATTTTTTAAGCGATGTAAAAGTTTGCAGGCGTAAAGAAGTGAGAGAGAGTGTAAAAAGAAAACACAAGGAATCAGCGTCTAATTCCCCGACACTGTGTTCACTTGTGCTTTCCATGAATCTATGAATGAGGTAAAGGAACTCTATGTAGAATGTCCGATTGTAATTAAATAATAGTGTATATGTCGGATCAAGTGTCTCATAGATAGTTCGAAGAAAAATGAAGGAAAAAAAAATAGTATATTACTATTCTATCATTAAGATGGGCGAATAAAATTGTATATTTTACGATGTAACTGTCGTACTGAGCGAAAAAAGAGAAAAAAATTTACCTAAACCTAAATTGCATCATGTTGTATTAACGATCGATATTTATCAAAAAAAAGAAGAAAAAAAAAATAATAAAAACACGAAGAAATGACGATTCAATGGGGGGATGATGTATGCGGACAGCAGAGAGATCAAGTAAATTAATCGTGTTACAAATATTAAAATTATTGTACAAAATTTAATGCAGATAGATTATAAGGCCTATCGTTTTATTTTTACCAGATCGACTTATGTTTATATCGTACGACGTATCCATTACTGTCGCGTCGGATCGCATGGCGCGAAAATTTGTATCTATGCACACGATTCATTCACGTTCCTTTCGCGTATGAGAGACAAGCTCGAGTTCTGACTGGTTCTTTAATCCTTGGATTCTGATATCGAGTCACATTCGCGTTATGATTTATAGTTTAAATATAATAGAATTGACTTTTAATTCTTTATATTGAGAATTGTTATTAATTTTCAATTCTATGTATAACTTAAGATTGATTTAATCTAATTTCCAAATGAAGTTAAATTTCGAAAAAATTTCCATCTTTGTGTATTTTATATTAACCATTATTAAAAGATTAATACAATTTAAATTCTTTCCTTATTATTTAAATAAGTAAAACGATAAATTTCGATAATATTTATTTTTTGAGTAAACATTGGTAAATAATTTTCGTATTTTATATTTCGTTAATTTTATATTTAACGAAAAAAGGAAGAACTTTCGCTAGTCTTTCTATGCAGTAGCGGCTGACTTCGGTGTCCATCCCAATTCTTCGACCTCGTACACTCTAAATCGTTTGCAATTTAAAAAAAAAGAAAAATAGAAAAAAAAAAGAAAAAAATGACTAAAAGGACTCACGAGGCTTCACGAAGCTGTCAGCGTGGGAAGGAAGAGGCGAGAAAACGTATTTTAAGTCAGAGGATCAGCCGGCAAACGAGAGTCAACATACACGCGGACACACTGTACATTCGTGTAAAGCATAGCGGAGCCTTATTGAGAAAGCAATATGCATCCTTAAAAAAAAACTGCTTAAAAGTATTTTCAAGCTGCTAATTTTACTCGAATAATTAATTCCTATGCTAAGTAAGCGAGCATCGAGGTGCTCTCGAAATATAACGCTTGTCTTCGACAGTTTCCTTGTCGAAATTGATCGAAGGCCACATTTCGAGTATATACCACTAATGTAACCCACGGATAGCACGTTTAATCTTTATGTGTTCTCACTTGGTGCATATATGTTTCATTCGTTTACAATTGATCATCTTGATCGTATACACTGCCATTTGTAACCCGTCTATGTATGTAACATTTATTTAAAAAAAAATTTGTTTATGTAATTCTACTACGTCTTTAGGTTATTTTCGATCAAATTGTGTTTTCAAAAGACATGTATTTTTTAAAAAATATCTAAAGTATAAGAAGGATAAGAAGAAATTGTTGTTATATGAAGGATTTTTCGATTGAATTTTATATTAAAGTGTTTAAAAATATTAAAACATTAAAAAATCTCTTTTTTAAAATAAACAAGGTATAATGATTTAAGAATCGTAGCATATAGGATTAAAATTGATATTTTGATTCAAAAATATTCAAAATTACACAACGTTACATATCGTTGTTACAATATAATATAATATATATTTATATATTTTAGTAAAAAAAAAATAAATTACATTTTTTTTTTTTTTTTTAGTTAGAAGATTAAAATGAACATTTCGAACATATAAATCTCAGAATTATATTTTTCGCTACATGAATAATTAAATAATAATGTAAAAATTCTAAATGAAAACTGACAACATATTCAATGATTAACAAAACAATATTTTCCATATAAAATGTCATATAATTTATTTAACGTTCTGATTATAATTGAACTTCTATATACACATTTATATGTATTCAAGGAATTAACGTTCTACCGTGGGCGGCAATCAGAGTCCTCTCGACTCCAAATGTAAATACACTTCCGAAAATAGTACGTATGAAAAATTATTCAAAGCCTATACGATACAATTTTCTCCCACTTATTAAATCTCTATTAAAATGTATAATAAAAAACACGAATATCCGATTCCAGCGGCTTCCTCTTCAATACTTTTGCGGTAGATTGAAAACCGCAATGTCGATTTACTGATGAATCGAGCATGTAAATATATATATGGAAAGAGACAAAACAGCGAGGAAACCGAGGGAAACACGGAAGTGCTCGAGAAAAATAGTAGCGGCGCTCCGTATTTTGGCGTAAAAGCTAAGCGAACGCGTAGACTCGTGAAACCGAACAGGGAGACAGTGGTTTTAGCGAGTCCCTGGGCCATAACATAGGTCACTAATTATAATAATAATATAGGAATATTCCAGCGTTATTTTGTACATAAATAACTTTATCAACGGATATTAAGAAATCATCAATAAATCTATATACAAAAAGACGAACAATGTATTTTTTTATCTCGAATAAATTTTTCCTTCTACTTATTTCCTCAAATAATATTTCTTAATATGTTAGATTAATGAAATATATTTAAAATTAAATTGATTGATGATAAATTTATAATATTTTTTTGTTTATATCATTGTTAAATATACAATGAATAGAAAAGGGATATATTAAAGTAAATTATTGTTACATTTTTTTGTAAAAAAATTTTGTAAAAAAAATGTAACATTTTATAAAGTAACAAGTGGCAAACGCATTCAAATAATATTATGGAATACAAATCAGTAATCGTAATACTGATATTTATTTCACGAAAGATTTAAGTAACAATACACATAAATATAATAATACAATAGTTTTACTTTTATATACAAAAGTTATGTTTATGTGCACTGAGGTTTTGGAATAAATATATGTTTTAAAATATATGCAGATTTATATAAAAATTCGAAGCACTATAATGCAAGCAACTAAATAGCAAAACACGAAACATTCGGAATGTCTTTCAAAAATTAATGTAACATATTATTATTAAAAAATTATTTTTCACACTTTAAAAAAAGATTACATATGATTTTATAATACACAAGTACAAATGATTTTACGAAAATCTGGAAAATAATACACATATCGACAAAAATGATATTTAGTACGTATGACTTGTTTATCTTTCTCGTAAAAACAAATTTGACATTCTACATTACGAATCGCATCGCGGTTTACTTAATTTTCACAAAATGACTATTTCTTTTTTTCTTTTTCTTTTTTTTTTTTCTTTTTTTAATGAAATCTTTGGATATTTCAATCAATAAATTATATATAACACGTTGTACAAAGCAACTATTTCACATCACACAATAGTTACAGATTTTTTCACATGAAATAATTAGTTTCTTTTGACCATAGCAATGCTGAGGCCGAGAATACTTGCAAGACCAATAATAACTCCTCCTGCAATGGCCATACCATAAAGTCCCTCTGTAAAAAAAAAAATATAACTTTCAAATTAATTAAAACAACTTTTTTATCTTTTTCAAGCTATTAAATTCATGTTATAAAATGCGAATAAAATCGAAATAAAAAAAAATACAAATTTAATATTATAAAGACATTGAAAAAAATTTGTTTTATAATAATATTTTTATTAAGCAAGTAAAATATACACAAAATAAAAAATATAATTTGATTATATAGATTATTTATATATTCGTAAGATATTTCTGGAAAATTAATTCTCGAGACTAAAATAAACACGAAAATTGATGTATAAAAAAATTGAGGTTTATTTATTAAATTATAAGCAATTTAGTTTATACTATATATAGAGATAAAATGAAATAGAGACAAAATATAGAAACGATAGTGTAACGGAGATAGAGACGTTTTATTGTGTTTCTGCTTCATTTTATTAACGCAAATTTAAGTTAGTTATAACTTAATAAATAAATTTTAGCCAACTATATAGCAACTTTTGTTTTAGTTTATAAAATAAACTTTCAAAATATTATATTCCATAAAAATATTAACAGTTTATGTAATTATATTAATATAAAAAAAACAGAAAGAAAGAATAATTTTAATAAACAATAAAATTGTATAAAAAAAAAATTGTTTCATATTTATGACAAATATTTACAAATTTTTAGATATAAAATATTAAATATTTAATGTTATTTAAAATTTGTCCATATATAAAAACTCATAATTATAACAAATAATATTAAAACAATAGTTAATATTTAGATAAAAAATGGTTAAAATGTAATTATATTATGTAATATATACGTATGTGCAAATACAAATTATTTTTTAATATTAAATCATTAATATAATGATCATCATATTTATTTGCAGACTTTATAATATTATATCATTATTTGTAATATTTATATCATTATTTACAATATTTATATCATTAATTATAATAAATAATAATTTATAGCACATACTTATTATATATATTACATTACTTAATACTTAATAAGATTAAATAACTAAATGTTAATTATAAAAAGCCTTAAAAATGAAAAAATAAAAAAATTTATTATTTAAATCAATAAAAAATAATTTATAAAAAAAGAACCTTTTTCCATTTTTTTCTTGATCAATGTTTCCAGATGCTGTACTTGTTGATTTCCAGGTTCAACCTGAAGAAACGATCTGACATACGCTAAAGCTTTTGTATATTCCTATAAATAAAAAAAATACTAAATTAGATGTAATGTAATATTAAAGTAGATAAATTAAGATATGATGCTACATTTATTTTTAATTCAATAGTTTCTAAAATCTTTATTCTATACCTTTATTCTAGCATTTCCAATGGCTAAATAATAAAGACAATCTCGTTTTTCGCTATCACTATGATTGCAATATAAATCTTCCAATAACATTATTCCTTTTCTGATATCTGCAGGATATTTGCTTCTAACAAGACACCATGCATATTCAAATTGAGCTTTTTGTGTTATTACTGATGAACGTAATTGTTCATTATATATACGTTCAAATTTCTGAAACAAATAAATAATCCATATTTTAATATAACAACATATGATGAAATATTTCTTACAAATGCAATAGTAATTAACCTCTGAATGATGTCATCATTTTCAATTAGAATTTAAAATATAAACTTATTATAAACTTTGCAAAAAAATATTTACATTAAAATTATGTTTTAAGTCGAAAATTTTCTTAAACGGTCTATTATAACTAAAAAAAAAATATCAAAAGAAAAATAACAACCGGTATAAAAAACAAATTAAACTACATAACCTCTAAAATATTTTAAACTTATTCAATACAAAAAGTAATAATCTTTATTTTCAAAATAGAAAACTTGCTATCAAAAAATTTAATATCACATATAAAATATTTATTATTCGCATACTTAATATATATAAATAAAATGCTAATAACCTAATGAATAAGAATCGTTTTTTTATAAAAAAAAAAAATACCTTTAAATCATCAGAAGAAACAACCTCTTCAAGAACATCCTCCATCTTTTAATATAAATTCTCAAGAATACTACGAAAAAATAATTTATCCTTTCCTAAATTCTACCTTGAAAGCAAAGAACTCATTACAAAACTACCAACTTCGTTCCGGCAATCGAGCTGTCAAAGGTAAAGAAACAAGTAAGTGCACATAGATATGTAATGCTTCTACTTCCATTCGCTATTTACTGGTAAGAATAATATCGCGCCATTATATATATGATTTAAACAACCTTACACATAACATATATATAAATTTATTTTTTATATATATTTTTTATTAAAAGAAAATTTGAAAATATAACTAGTATAAATTAAAATCATTTCATTATCTCTATATTTTAAAATATAATTCTTTGCTTAATAATCGAAATAATCAAATATATATTTGATTTTAAAATAAAATAAAATAAATATAATAAAGAAAAAAAGTTTAATTATACATAATTGATAATATATTCGAAGATATTTTAATATAAGTAAGTTTTAATTAATTTTATTTTCTATATTCTATTAGTTATATGTAACATAAAAATAAATAAAAATATAATTTACATATAAATTTAAAAAAATTTTGTATAAATTAATATATATATAATGTGAATAAAAGGGGATATAAATTATAAATTATCTTTTATTTTCTTAATATTTATTATAAAATAAGTTAAGTTTTAATTAATTAACAATATTTTGTTTATTAATTATTTGCTAATTATTATTGAACATTTCGTTCAACTGTTTTGTTAATGAATATAATGGCATGCCCATTACTGTATAAAAATCACCATCTATTTTTTCAATTAAACAACCACCAAGACCTTGTACACCGTATCCTCCAGCTTTATCTCTTTAATAAAAAATATTTTTAAATATTTTCATATTTTGAAAAGTTATTATACTTAAGAAGAATCAAATATTTTATACCCACAGAGGTTCTCCTGATTTTGTATATGTCCATATTTGTTCTTCTGATATATCACCAAATTTTACTTTTGTAGATTCATAAAAATTTACTTCTTTCTTTGGTGTTTTTAAACATACTCCAGTATAAACTACGTGTTCCTTATTTGCTAAACTAAAATTTTCTTAATTAAATAAAACTAATATTAAAATTTTTTCTATCTAAAATAATTATTTCACCTTGATAACATTTCAAAAGCATGATATTTGTTCTTTGGTTTTCCATAAATAATATTATCCATTGTTACTATAGTATCAGCACCAATTATTAAAGAAGGTGGTATAACATCTTCTTGTAATCTATTATATACATCTTGTACTTTATATTTTGCTAAATCTTGTACATATTTTCCATAATTTTTATATATTGAACTATCTAAATTTTCATCGTACATTGAAGGTACTATTTCTACATTTATACCCTATAGTATAAATAAACATAAAATAAATTTTCATTCAAAATCTATTATTATATATGAAAAATTAGAATATATAATATTATTTAAATAAAGTATTTAAATTTCAAGTTAATATTATGAAATTTATATAAAATATAATATCATATTATGATAAATCATATATCATGAATTAGCTATATTATTTTAGTAAATAAAAGCTTTAGAACAATTTATTTTTTTGTATAGATTATTATTTCACTTTTTATTTTTTATGAATATAAAAACATTATCTAGAATTATATAATATATTTCTGAATTATAAAAAAATTATAAAAAGAATTACCAATTGTTTCATTATTTCATATCGTCTAGGAGATGCACTAGCTAATATAACTCTACTTGTTGTTAAAGCTTGTATTGTTTGTTCTAACATTATTTTTCTTTCTAACATATATTAATAAAATGATTAAAAATATAAAACTTTAAAACAATTTATATTAACAATTTTAAAACAATTATATTAACAATCTTATATTATTAAATCTTTAATTTATATACAAATCTTTAATTTATATTATATTTATATTATATTTTAATTCCCTTATATTTTCAAGAAAAAAAATAAATTATATTATTATTATCAAAGAGATGAAGAGAGAAGAAAATACGTAAGTAACATGTTACGTTATTATTACATACTAAATCCAACATTTCCAGATGTCGCCAGTTATGTGATCTTCTGTTAAAGAGATATGAATAAGTAGAATATAATAAGAGAATTTTTATGTTTTTAATTAAAAAGATATTTTATTTATTATTCTGATAGAACAATTTTGGTTTTAATAATTATTGGTTTTATCTTGTCATTAAATAGTCTAATTCTTCAAAGAAACACATATATTAAAAAAAAAGGAAAGTATATTTTTTTAAATAGGTTATCCATATAAAAAATTATATAAATTATATCCTGCAATTGAAAACTTAAATTTCAATTAGTAAAAATTAAATAAAAATATTTTTAGTCAAATATACATTTGAAATACAAATGAAATACAAATGAATAAATAAATATGCATAAAAAATTGAATTGAATTTTCAAAATATATAAGATTAAATTCATTTTATTAATACAAACAATATCTAACATATATTTTCACAATTATTTTGCTATTTCTAAATTAATATCGATTAAAAATGTTTAAAACTAGTTATAATAACATGCAAGATATTCATCGATAATTTACATTATTCTTACATTTTATTATTATGAAACATATTTTAAAAGTTATTTATGCAATTTGTAAATTAGATTTCTACTATCAATAAAATTTTTGAAAAAATTGTTGAACGATTGAAACAATTTTATATTAGATTAGATTATTAATAGATTCATTGAGAAGTTAAGATGAATAATTGAAGTGACAAAAAAAAAAAAAAATGATTCAGAGAGAAAAAATAAGTAAAAGGAAGATAGGACAAATATATAGCGTAGCTTAAAAATATTAGAGCGGGGAGGAGAACTATTTTCTAGGCATAGAAGATTCTAATACATCGTAATCGGTAAATTACGTAAATGCCGCATGCCATGAACGAACCTAAAGGTCAGTCAGTCCGAGGTCTTACATAATCGTAAGGCGAAAGGTTGACCCATCTTTACGCTGTAGCCTTCCAACTGAACAAAGATTTCGCTGCATTTTTTCGTCATATTTCGCATTGTTTCATCGATGCAACATTTTATCAATTTCATTAATTAATTTAAAACGATCTCTCGAGTGGAGGTAAAATACAAGGCTTATGGGTCTTATAATAATCTTGTTTCTTTGAGAAATCGGTATAAAGAAGATGAATCCTTGATAATGATTTTTTATAAACTTTGTTTATTCCAAAAATAAAAAATCGTTTAATTATAGTTTAAAAAAAATCTTTTTTTTCTTGAAAGATCAATATCGTCAAAAATGATAATGATATTTGATATTATTGAAAATAATCTTTGACATCATTAAAAAACATACCTCTAATTAATATACTTTTGTAGATATTGAATTCATTGAAAAATAATTAAAAATAATATTATATACATAATATAATATAATATATAATATAATACATATATTAATATTTTTTTTGATAAACTACTGTTGTTGTTATTTTATGTTAAATAATTTTTTATTTGATTATTTAAATAGACTAAAATATAAAAAATAATAATATAATAAAAAAATAAAAATATAAAAAAAATAATAATAATAATTTAATAGACAAAAAATATAAAAAATATAAAATTTTAATATAAAAATTCAATATAAAATTTAAAGTTTAAATATATTTTTTATTTGTTTGTTTGTTTTATTTAAAAGTTGTACATCCAAAAAATATTATATTAAATATGGTAATAAATAATTTTATAAAAAACTTAGTATAATAATATATCTTAATTTTTTAAATTTATGTTAGAAATAAAATGAAACAATTGAATAATATTATTTATATATATTAATGATTCACTTTATATAATTTTTAGAGTTAATTAATCATTCGTTTAATAATTAATTAGAATTTATTTTCATTAATTATATTGATAAGTATAAATTATTAATATCAATTATGTTAAAAATTTCGTGAAACTGGTCATTACATATAATATATATTTTTAATAAAATAAGATTCTGATATTTAAAAATGATATATCAAATTAAAGATTATAAATAAGATAATATATTATTTTTAAAATTCGTATTTTTATCATTAAATTTGTTAAATAAAAAGTGCTTTTTATTTTTACTTATAATTTTAAAATGTATAATTTTAAATACATATTTTAATATTATTTGTTTACAATCTAAATATTTTTAATAATCAGTAAGAATCAATAATCAATAAAATTCTTTAATATATTTGCAATTAGTTATTTTATACTTATTCATCTATATAAAATCGATTTCATTGCTTTATTAATGCATTATAAACATCTAGTTTTTTATTTGTTTGTTATATTTTATTAAACATTTAATTGATTATATATTTGAAATAGTAATATAAAACATTATGGTTTCTATTACATACTGTAAATAATATACAAATAAATTATATAAATATAGATAATTTTATTTAGAATTTCTATTGAATTAAATATAATTAAACAATATAAATTAATTGAATATGATTTATTTTTTGAAAAGAATAAAACATATGTATATAAGATTCGAGTGACAAAATTATTTTATTTTATTGTATTGAAGGTTATGTTAATTTCAAAGGAATTGAAAATATATTGGTTATAATTGAAAATGCAAATTACCCGGAATTCTCGAAGATGATTTCATGAAAATAACACGGATTATCTGAAAATCTACATAATCAAAGGCTATGACGAGCAGGATATTAAAAACTAGTTATTAAAGAATATTCATAGACAGAATGCTAGGATAAAGGTATGATGATGTATGCTATTGTTACTTCATGCTTTTACGGAATCATAAATGGAAACAAAGATCTTAGTGTGCAGAAAGCATTTCCAAAAAAAAAAAAAAAAAAAAAAAAATGCAATTTTCGTAATAATCTTGTAAGATTTAGTACAAATTATTTATTTTGTTTCATGTTAAAAATATTTATAATTAATCAAGTATGAGACATTCAAAAAAGAAAAAAAAATAGAATAAAAAATTAGTAATAAAAAATAAGATATGATTATATAATATGATATTATTTGAAAAAAGAAAAGGACAGAAAGAATAAGAAACTTATAATGCATGGCAAATTTTTCATGTTCTTATATTTCTATAAT